GCAGTCTGTTTACGCATGTCGGATGCGTAACGCGACGCGTCGGCAAATGCAATTGCGGAAAACTCGTTAGGACACGCCGTACCGCGTTATCATTTACGTTCTGGGAATTTTAGGGAAACTCTGCGTGTCGCGCACGACCTACTGTTCAATTTATAAAACGCCGGTGTTCGTTTCCGCACCGCTGGGCCCTCCGAGGCCGTTCGAACAATGCAGTGATCAGAACGACCTCCCAGGGATCGCCGGGTCGAGTATTTAAACGGTGATACGGGCCTACCCTTGCCAAAGATTCGTTTGTCACGTTCGTCCAACTCCCAAATACTTCGCGTCAAATAAACGTTGTACAAAGTCGTTTTACAAAATGTAAAAGATCTTTTCCGAAAGTAGATTTCGCCGTGATTAATCGTCTAGAAAATCGCTCTTCTCGCGGCCACGAGTTCTTTCTACGGAAGTGCCGAAAAAGTAGCCTCGGTCGTTGCGAGCGTTGACACGCGAATTAACGAAATAGAAAATTGCTCGGCGGACGCGTGCGCAAGAGCACAGTATCGTGGTTCATTTCGCGTTTTAATTTCAAACATCGACGCGGAAAAACTCGTGACCGTACGCGCTCGCAGTGTTCGCCGCGCGTTCGCTTATTACCGGGCCGGTTACCAGTTCGACTTTCGGTAGGAAATAAAAATTCTGCGCGAGTACCGCGGACGGGCGTTCGATATACGGGTCAGCCGGTCGTCGACATTCCGGGACATTAATTTCAGAAGTGTTCCTATTCACACCCCTGCATGAGTTCATTGGCCCGTAAGGGCTCTTTTCAAAGGGCAGCTCGCGCGCGACCGGAGGGAGATCTCTTTGAAAACCGGCACCGGCTACCCCCGTCCCCCGTTTAATATTAATAGCAGCATTTGCCGCGGCCTCCGTATGAACGACATTTAACTAACGAGACGCCCCGATTCGGTCACCGGGCTCCTTTGCGTTTTCTTTCGTTTTTACTCTCCCTTCGATCGACGTAATTTTCACGAGAACCTCTATGCAAATGATCGAACAACAAACGAGAATCGCGTTTCTCCCATATTATTATGTTCGATTCATTTCACGGAGATTACAACTGCGTTTGACAATTTATATCGCGAATTTTATAATTTATATGTCCGTAATATATAACTGCGGGTTCCAATTAAAATAAAATACACGCCGGAATCGATAATAATTTCAACAATAAACCTTTGACGCGAGATACGGTTATTTTAAGGATGTATTGGCTATCAAGAAGAATTCTATACAATTTTACCGTAGATCCAACGGTTTGGAAGTTATTGGCAAAAAACGAAAATTTCGC